GAGGGATGGAGAGAAAACGGGGAGAGGGATGGAGGGAACGGGGAGAGGGGTGGAGGGAAAACCGGGAGAGGGATGGAGAGAAAACGGGGAGAGGGGTGGAGAGAAAACGGGGAGAGGGATGGAGAGAACGGAGTGAGGGATGGAGAGAAAAGGGGAAGAGGGATGGAGAGAAAACGGGGAGGGGGATGGAGAGAAAACGGGGAGGGGGATGGAGAGAAAACGGGGAGGGGGATGGAGAGAAAACGGGGAGAGGGGACAGAGACAGCCCCGGGTGAGGGGGAAGGAGACAAACCCGGTGTCAGGGGGTTCGTGACAGCCCCGGGCGTCCCCCAGAATGAGGGGGACAGAGACCCCCCAATCATCCCCCAGAAGAGGGGGATGGAGACCCTCTGAGTGAGAAATCAGGAGACCACCTGTCCTTATTGATTATTTCTTGGTATGAGGGGGTAGAGAAGCTCAACCATTTCCTGGTGTGACAGGGACAGAGACCCCTGAGCATTCCTTGGTGTGACAGGGACAAAGACCACCCCGAGCATTCCTTAATGTGACAGGGACAGAGACCCCTGAGCATTCCTTGGTGTGACAGGGACAAAGACCACCCCAAGCATTCCTTAATGTGACAGGGACAGAGACCCCCGAGCATTCCTTGGTGTGACAGGGACAAAGACCACCCCGAGCATTCCCTGTGGGACAGGGACAGAGACCCCCGAGCATTCCCTGGGCACTGAGGTGACAGTGACAGAGACCCCCGAGCATCCCACCCTGCTCCAAACAGGGTTTGCACAACATTCCCAGGCTTGCACAGGGCAGGATTTTGGGGTGTGATCCCGGTGGGCACCTTCCAGCTCGGATATTCCCATTCTGCCCCGTTTGGTGCCAGCTTTGATGCTGGAACCGAGCCTGAGACGCGCTGCAGGGGTGCCAGAGGCAGGCAGAGCCCCGGGGCCGGAGCCTTTTCCCCCTGCTGTGCTCCATCCTGGTGGAGCTGGTGGAGCTGAGCCTTTCCTGCTGCAGGGGCGACGCCGTGGTGATCTCGGGGAGGAAACTGGCCCGGCAGATCCGGCAGGAAGCGCGGCACGAGGTGCAGCACTGGGTGGCCGCCGGCAACAGGAGACCCCACCTGAGCGTGGTGCTGGTGGGGGAGAACCCGGCCAGCCACTCCTACGTCCTCAACAAAACCAAAGCGGCGGCGGATGTGGGTGAGTGGGAGCTTTCCTGCCCTTTTGCCTGGGAATTCTCCATGCTGGGATGCTCCCACCTGCTGGCTTTTCCCGGAGTTTGGGTTCTGGTGGCTGCCCGGTTGTACTGAGGTGTGGCTAGGTGTGATCAGCTGGGTCCTTCGGGGCAGAGTTGGGGTTTTTCAGCTTTCCCAGAGCTGGGAGAAGCACAGGAGGGGATTTTTGGCCTTCTTTCCCCATCTGCCTGGGACAGAGCCCCTGTTCAGCAGCCTCGCTGCCCTCTGGCCCCATCCTGCAGTCCAAGGTCCTGCTCAGGGTCAGGGCAATAAATGGTGACATTCGAGCTGGGTCTCAACAGCTGGAGCTGAGATTTTGAGGCAAACATCCCTTTTTTACTGTGTCCAGAAAGGCCTCTCAGGGCACGTGGGTTTATTTTCATGGCAGCAGCCTTTGCTTGGGTTTCTCCCTGCTCTGACAGGGTCCCAAACCCCCTTTCCCAGGCCACCAGCCCCATAAAATCATCCCCAACAACAAATCCCAAGATTTGTGAAGGTCTCTGCAGCCTGGGAGCTGCATAAATCCTTCCATCCTTGGTGTGCACCTCCCAAATTTAGCCAGGCAGCGAAACGGGGCAGTTTAAATCACAAACTCTGGGAAAATCTCTCTTTTGTGCCTCACTGACCCGGTGGATTTGGTGGTTCCAGGGATCAGCAGCGAGACCATCCTCAGGCCAGCCTCCATCAGCGAGGAGGAGCTGCTGGAGCTGATCACCAAACTCAACAGCGACGCGGGCGTGGACGGGCTCCTGGTGCAGCTTCCCCTGCCTGGTGAGCAGCTCAGCTCCCCCTCCTGCACTCCCACAGAGCTTCAGGGGCTGCAGGATGGAGGAATCCTGCCCTGATCCTCCCCCTCAGCAGCAGCTGCTGCAGGGCTCAGGCCTGGGATCTATTCCTGTGGGGGAGTATCAGCTTCCCTTGGCTGCCTGAAAATGCCCTGGGTGTGAGCAGGGCTGGCCCTGCAGGGTGCTCCCAGTGCCCTGGGCTGGGAGCTGCCAGCCTGCAACTGGGAGTGCTGAGGAGGGTCAGGCCCCACTCTGAAGGGGCTCCAGGGGCACAGCTCCAGTTTGGGGTGACACTTCCAGCTCAGGGTTCAAGGTCACAGCTCCAATTTGG